GAGCCCACTCACGTAGATATCATACCAAAACTTGCCCCCAAAGCCCCATAACACATGGGGGGCCACAAGGCCAGGGGACTTTACCCGTCCCCTACGCCCAATGAAAGAAAGAAAGAAGCAGAGAGAGAGAGAGAGAGAGATAACCTGTACCAGTTGACGTCGGGGGACAAGGTGTGACCTACGAGTACTACAATCACCGACGACGACGGCGGAACCAAACGACCAGGGAGACCAAGCTACAGGAAGCAGCGAACTCCCCGAGGCACCCGTTGCCGGGCACACACGTGCCCCGGCGACCTTAGAAGAAACGGACAGCGGAGACGCAGATGCTGTGCCGTGGCAGACGCAGACATGGAGCTGTGGCACCCAGCCGGCGGAGCGCCGCACTACTTGAATAGAGAGCGCGAAAAAGAGGAACTGAGCAGAGTGACCCACCGGTGCCGTAGAATGCACGCAGCATTCTCAGATGAATGAGTCGGGGAACCGCCCTCTCTCCCTACCCAGGCCTGTACCCTTTTTTTCGTGCGAGATACTGGCTGGACTAGGCACCTGCTCAGTCTTGGAAGCTGCGGCAAGTGCGGAGGTGTCAGAGGTAGTTGCACGCAGGGGTCAGGTTTCTGCTCGGGATACAGGCAGGGTTCAGGCAGGTGAGGTGGGTTGAGTAGTCACGAAGTGTGTTCTGGGGTCACTTTGCAGTTGACCGTATGTGTTGTTGCAAGTCCGGAACTGATCGGGCGCACCAGGTTGCGCTGCAGATTTGCCTCCACGGGGCTGCTCCAAAGCCAAGCAGAGAGAGAGATAGAGGGATAGAGAGACAGAGAGGGAGAGAGAGAGAGACAGAGATCCCTAGCCCTGGCGAAAGAAAGAGATAGATGATAGAGAGAGCGAGAGAGATGGTTTAAATGTAGGGCAAACATATTTGCCTCGCATGAGCTGGGTAATGCCTGGTTCGTGCTGTGATTTGTTTTTAATGCGGGTCCCATTGTCTTGGCGCAGAAGTTCCTGAATCCGGGTCTGATGCATCTGCAAGAGTTCCCCAAGTCCAATGCGCTTAATATAAGGGCCGAAATAATTACTTACTTTTTTTTTTTTTTTTTT